CATGTTAAATCCAGTGTATTATGTCGCTAAAGTGTTCATAGTAGTTATGATATATCTTTTTAAAAATTTAATAGATGCAAGAAACTGGAAGCAGAGCTTGCTTCTAGGAGGGGAACTGGGAGACTGGGATTTAGGAACAGAAGGTCACTCAGATTTTGTTATTCTTTTGTACGATGTGTATATATTCCCTGGGCTAAGCATATAAACAGTTGAGTTTTTTTAATTGAATAGATCAATTGTGACTTATTTATTCAATCTCTATAATGATTTTTTTTTTAAAAAGCTAAAGTCCTTGGATGGCCATTTAAAACCCCCTTTTATTTTCATTTGCAGAGCAGTATGGTATGACCCCATCTACTATCCAGCTTCATGGCAATTGGATCCAACAGAAGGGCCAAATCGAGAGAGGAGACGTTTACAGCGATGTTACTTAACTATTCCAAATAAGTATCTCCTTAGGGATAGACAAAAATCGGAAGGTAACAGTGGCTTCTTGACTCAACATTTAAATATAGCAAATATAACTGTAGTTATTTGGTAAAGATAATATGTACTTTTTCCTCAACAGATGTGGTCAAACCACCACTCTCTTACCTATTTGAAGACAAAACTCATTCTTCTTTCTCTTCCACTGTCAAAGACAAAGCTGCAAGTGAATCTATAAGGTGAATTTGGATCCATGGACCTTCACTCTTTTGTGAATGTACAACAATTTATTGAAGTGTTTATATAATACTTACTTTAGATAATGCTGTGGTTTTAAGAAAAGTCCTAAACAGGATAGGCTCAAGAGAGGACAGGTTGATTGGCCAGAATCCAAAAGGAAAGGACATTTCTGATAGCAAGCATTCATTGGACTTCAGCCATCATGATCTGGCCCTTGTTAGCATACATATATTTTTATAGCTAAATTTTTTAACAGCTCTGTAAAGTAGATAGACCTGGTGGTATCATCAAAAGGTGATGTAGTGTAGTGTTAAAGGTTCAAATTCCAATTCCTCCTCTTACTTGTATTTGGTCTTGGGCAGATTACTTAGACTTTCAGTCTCAGTTTCCTCATCTACTAAATGAGGAAAATAATAATACCCAAGGTGTCATAGCATTATTGAGTATTAGGTGTGTCAGTATATGTTAACTAATGATTGTAATATCATTATTGTTTTTGTGGTTGTTATTATTATACCCATTTTATAGATAAAAAACCGAGACTGAAAGATAATTGACTAAAGAACAGAAGAATTTTCTGACTCTAAATCACCTGTTTTCTCTAGAATACTAGGCTTTATTTATATATTTGAAGTATAAGAGGCATGAACCAATGTTTGCTTATTTACTGGAAAATATAAAATATTGAAGTCTCTATTAAATAACTGAATTCCTGTATTCTGCAGACATGTTATAGGGATTGTTAGCCTTTTCTAAAAGTTTCAGGTATTTTCTTTTCTGCCAAAATGCTAAAAAGGAAGTGGTATTCATGTAGATTTTGATAAGACACCTCATGCTATTGAAACTCTAGTCTGCTTTGCTGAAATATTTTACTAGATAAAATAAAGCCTATGTTCTCTAAAATTGGTCAATATATTTAATCACAGTAATTTTAAATATGTTTTGACAGAGTGAATCGAAGGTGTATCAGTGTTGCACCATCTAGAGAGACAGCCGGTGAATTGTTATTAGGTAAGTCAAATTTTGAATAATTTTACACATAATCACCCTGCCTTGTTTTTTAATTTTAATTTTAATTTTTTTTACTATGAAATCTTTCTAGCCACACCCTGCTTTATTTTATTTTTAGATAATTTAAAGTGTTTTTTGACACATTGTCATTAAATCAGATACAATTTCTCTAATATCATTTAGGCTAGTTTGCCTTAACATTATATATAATGCATGTGACTCAAAAATGTGAAGAAAATGACATCTTATTTTCTGAAAAGCATATGAATAGCATTTTAATTTTTATAAAATTGAGTTTCTTCCTGAGTATATATTTTAATATTTAATCATTCCTTTTATTATATGCCAATTTAAAGTAAAAAATTATTGGTATATTTATATACCTACTGTTTTAACAAATATACCTATGCATAAGAAATGTATCTACCTTGAGATTATTCATAATTTATATTCTCTATCATGCTTCTGAGAGAAAAAGGCAAAGATTGTCAGTCCACAAATACCTAAATAGTTACATTTGGTGGAAAATTTTTTCTCAAAACATGAAGAAATAAAGTTATACCACTTGGTCTCTATTCCCTCGAAGAACCAATTTGTATGCTGGAAGCTATGTTCTCAAAGCTGGTCCTTCAATCAGCACCATCAGCATCTCATACAAACTTCTTTAGAAATGCCCATTCTCAGTCCCTGGCCCAGAGCTTTAGAATCTGAAATCCTGAGCATGGGGCCCAGCAGTCTGTGTTTTCATTAGCCCTCCAGTGATTCTGATGTATCCTCAAATTTGACAGTCAGTGCTGTAAGCCACAGTGTCCAAGGTGTGGACCTTTGAGCTGGCTGAGAATTAGCCCCATGGTCACATAGATAGAGATTGGGCCATTCTCTGACCCAGTCGTGCCAGTACTTCAAGGTCTACCCGGCACTCCAGGGTGACCAGCATGCAGGTGGCAGAGCCCCAGCAAAGTTCCCAACATTGGAAACATGATGTAGAGACATGTGTTAGCAACAGCCAGCCTATGAAGCAGGAAAAAATTGGGGGCTATGTTTAGGGCCCAGCCTGCCCCATTGAGTGTCTCAATCTTCAAAATAATTAAGGATTTCTCTTTTGCTAGAAAATTTGGTTTACCACTTGACTTCTATTAATGTGTGACAAAATAAAGCAAATCAGTATGCTAGTAATATAAGAATAAGGGTAATAATAAATGCCAACATTTATTTAGTACTGAGTACCAAGTACTGTTAATAAGCATTTTGCATATATTCTGATTTAATTCCCACAATAACTCTGTGAAATAGGACCCTGCCATCTTTTTCTGATAAGGAAACCAGCATACAAAGAGGTTAAGCAACTTGCCCAAGATCTCATAAATACTATTCGGAAGTATTTACTGAGTGCTAGGAACTGTCTCTAGGTACTAAGATTCAAATTCAGATCAAAGGAATCCAGAGGTCATGCTTTTAATCATATATAATACTTTGGTTTCTCTTCAGATTGTATAAATCCTTTGCCTTTTTAACCATATATGGTAATAGTGCACATACATTGTAAACCCTTATATCCAATTATTTTTTGCAGGTAAATGTGGAATGTATTTTGTGGAAGATAATGCTTCTGATACAATCGAAAGTTCGGTGAGTAGAGGCTTAAGTTTGTACTTTCATAAATTGAGACAAATTCCAAAAATGTATAAATTTAGTATAACCAGTGAGCAGGAACAACTATTAGAGTT